TAAGTCATGCCCTAAAGTCACAAAAAGATTAAAGACCTGAAACCACTGTGTCATTAGAAACCATTCAGGTTATCTTGGATTATTATTTGGTGGAATTATATAAGATAAGCATTGACACACTCTCAGATGAACCCACCATGATTGACTGTAGTTTAACAGCTGAAATCCCCCTTAAAATCAGCCATTTTCTCTTCAGTCCACATAATAATTTAAACTGTTTATTTTCTCCAGGTAAATATGAGGTCATCAAGTGTTGTATTTTTGCTTCTTTTATTTCCCTCATTGAATCATGAGGTAGTGAGGCCTGCAGGGCTTTTGGTTGTTAGTTTTTTTCTCTGCCCTCCTGGATGATTAGTCAAACATATTTTAATAATAACAACTGAACTATATTGATCTCACATTGGAGGAATGTATCTCTGCATTTAACCCATCCCCTTGGGGAGCAGTGTGGGGTTAATCCTTTATAGGGCACTAAGTGAAATACTTTGAAAATCAAAATTTCAAGCCAATAATCTAACCTTGTTACCTTTGGAACATTAAAAAAAATATGGATATTTTGATGTCAAAAATTAATGTCAATGTAATAACAAGAAACACCAACTTTCCCGAATATATTAAGAAAAATAACAAAAGTGCTTCTAATAGAAATCCATGAAAAACACTGAGACAAAAAAAAAAAACATTTTTCTTAGTACAGCATCAGCTTAGAGACTTTAATGCTGATACCTGCACTTACATTTTTTTGATTATAAACCTTAAAATAATTGTTTATTTAGGCTTATTAATTTTTTAACTTTACTTTAGAACTTTTCTCTTAGGTTTTTTCCCTTTTTTCTTGAATTTTTCCCTTTTTTCTTTCAACTTAATTTACAGTAGGTAATATATGATTCAAGGGCTTATCTAATTGGTCAAATGCCAAAATAAGATGTACAGCAATGTAGCAGAATCTTTGCTGAATGGCTGGATATAGATCGTGTGCTTCTAGACCTAACTGAAAGACAGGGGAAACTCCATTTTTAAGGGATATGCAAGTGATCAAAAATGGTAATTTACACTATACTGTAAAGGGTTAAGGGTCTTGCTCAGGGACCCAGAGTCCAGGCTGTGGGGATCGAACCATGTACTTGCAACCTTTTCAGAGCACAAGTGCACCACTCTGACCACTAGGCCAACACTTCCCCTATAAATGTTGCATTGGCCTATCCTCGGAAGATTCTCCACTGTTCCATGTTTTCACAATATGTGGTTAATGGTTCTTAATGTGGTTCTCTGTAGCTCATAAGCCTTATAAAGGACTTTGTAACCTTTCTAGGCTGATAATTTATTTTATGTGTTGGTTTTTGGGATGTTTTAGCCTATGTCAAGTTGAAAATCTCTTAATTCTATGCGTCAGGTAATTAAACCCACATGTTGCTTATCAAATCATATTTCAGGAGTCCGAAAAAGCAGTTAATCACATTTAATTCATAAGTTGACGAGAGATGGATATTTCTAACACAGGGCCAAGACAGTAACAATTTTATGACTTTGAATTAGGCAAAATCATAGTTTTTGTCTGACTTTTCTATGAAATGAAGAAT